ACCTATGGTTGCGTTTTGGGGGGGAATGTAGTGTTGGCATGAATGTTGGCCAATAATTTGTTTTCATTAATGAATTGAACGATAATGAAACAAGAAAACATATGTTGGAGCTTTACTCATTCATCAATGACTTGAGCATCTTTGATGAATTGAAAAATAGTTTTCAGATACTGAAAGATGCTATGCTGTTTACAATGTAACAACGGAAACAGCATGTTTTTAAATTCAGTCTGTGTTATTAATGTTTTATCATCACTTATTCAGTCTAGACAATCAAGAAAACAATACATCAAGCCCTGATTTGTAGCATTTGCAGATTTTTGTGGTGTAAATACCTCCAGTGTGACAAGATTTCAGCATGCTGTCACTGAACTCAGAGTCAGGATGAGATGGGTGGCCACCTACCATTCTATAGGGCTTCCACCACAGGGACACAGTGGACTTAAGTCACCTCAAGAGGGTAGATAAGAGTAAGATAATTAGGATGTGAGCGGCTTTGAGTATTTCTTTCCTTTTTTAAAAAACGTAATTTATTCTAAGCTCGTATAATTTAATTCTTATTAATGGCTGTGTTTCACAGTTGGCTCACGGAATTTTTAAAAATGTGGTAATCGGTTCTCACTAGTAAGAAACAGTTGAGCATCTCACTGCTTGGAAGCCTTGAGCTACCACGTGACTGCCAAGTAATCCATCTTGCCATCAGCTCTGGGGTCAAGAAATTAAACATTTGGCCCCTCAGAAACCCTGTTCGAGATATCTCCTAATCCGTGACACTTACCTCTTTCTCAAAGTAACCACGATTCTGATTTATAATGCCCTAAGTTAGTTATGCTGATTTTGAAACTTTAAGTACAGTCAGTGTTCTTTTGTGTCTGGCTTTGTTTGTTCAACATGAATTTGTAAAAGTCTTCTATGCTAAAAAAAAAAAAAAAGTCTTTTATGCTGTTGTGCATATATGTAGTTTATTGGTATAGTTATATAGTAGCGTATCACAATCTGTTTTCTTGCTAATGGATATTTGGATTGTTTTTAGCTTGGGATACTCTTATACTTACCCTTTGATAGCTTATATATGCATGCATTTCTAGTGAACGTGCTTAATATGAAATGCTTGCTAATGTTGACCTTAGTCAACTAAAGTAAAAATATGAGGAAAGAATTTTCAGATCTTTGCAGTGACATTGCAGTTAGTATTACTTATACACAGGTAATAATATCTTGGGCAAGATTTGCTTTATTGTCTGAAACAGTTTCTTTTAGGTATTACAGTTAATTTAGCTGGTTAACGAATACCATAGTTCTTTGTATTTGATAACCCTATTTTAATTTAATCTAAGTATTTGTTGTGAAGGATAATTATCCCTCAGTTTACTGTTTTCCTGGTATTACCGAAATAATTACTAATTTTTGCTTCCTAAGTCGGTTTTTTATAACCTCACTGTTTTGATTTGGAAAAGTTTCCAGAATCTTCTTTGTAGTACTTGTGTCATCCAGTCTCGTGTGTGTTGTTGTAAGCCTTTGGAGTTCTCAGTCTCATCACTACCTGGTTCATACCCACATCTCCTTTTCTGTGCAGAGAGAGGCTCCTCCCCTCCGGTTCTCCTTCCCTGTCCCATCTGTCTTCCATGCAGCAGCTGGAAGTGTCTGCAGTGATCCCCAACCTTCTTGACTTCGGGGGCCGGTTTCGTGGTAGGGGGGTGGTTTCGGGATGGTTCAAGCACATGACATTTATTATGCACATTATTTCTATTATTATTGTGTTGTAATATATAATTAAATAGTTGTACAACTCACCATTAAAAAAAAAAGAGGTCTGGGTGAAAGTGGTAAATAAAATGGGCGTGCCACCGCTGGCCTGACCGAAGGTGGAGCTCGCCCGCTGCTCACCCCCTGCTGTGCTACCCAGGTCCTAATGGGCCACAGACCAGGGCTCGGGGACCCCTGTACACGCATGCACTTAAAAGCCATACCCATCCTGCCAACCTCTCCTGCCTCTTCCTTCTGCTCAGTGCCTTTTAGCTACACTGACTCCTCGGGGTTTTTTTACAGCACTTCACAGCTTTGATGTGTTTTGTCGTGTTGACTTGTTACTTGTTTCCCCCACTAGCCTAGATGCTCAGTGGGGCCGATCATATATTTTCACTCCCTGTTTTAAAGCCTGCTGCACGGTGCAGTGTGCTGCATGTAGCAGATGCCCAGATACTCATGCTCTGACCCTCCTGTGGTGTCCTGTTCCTTTCAGATCTGGGCAGCTTTTCCGTTCCTTTGGTGGCATGTTCGTCAAGTCCTCTCCTGCCACCTGGACGTTTGTATTACAATGAAGTTTTCATTTCAGCAGGAGAATTCTCAAATCAGAATGCCACACGAAGACTTAAGTCCCAGATGTGTCCGTATCTGTTGCGTTCCTTCGTTGTTTTCCAGAACAGCTTTTAAATGATGACAACTGTTCCCAGTGATCTGTTTGAATGTGACTTTGTAGCCTTGGCCTGTCTGTACGCTAAGGTGTGGTTCAAGACCGAGTTTATTTAAAATATATTGATGTTATGTTTGTTGCGGAGGTATGCCAGAAATTTACTCTGAAATCTGTCATCTGAAATGCAAGAAACTTCCTGAAAATTTAGTTTAATACTACTGCCATACTGCCCAGAAACAACAAATTGTTCGTTTTTTCTGGGTGAAGTCACCAGAATACTGTTTGGTCATTTACCTGGTGGCTTAAGAGAATTGGCATGTCTACCGGAGGGGTCCGATCAGTCTCCTCGTAGCACTTGGGATCGAGGCTTTCATCTGTCCCAGAAGAGGTGGGATTGGAGAGCTTGTCCTGTTCTCTTGTGTCTTTTCAGATTGATGTTTAAGAGATTGACTCACTTTGACCATTCCTCCCCATAGTTTTTACATGAGATGATATCTGTAGAGCTGCAGCACTGGGAGGACTTGACTCTGCCTGCCAAAGTAGTTCCAGTAGTTGGACTATCTCTGGCAGATGAGGGCACTTCATTTAAAGCTCTTCTGAGCTGAGTAAACCTTGGCAGAACACCATAGAAACCGTAACATATCATTTCTTTAAAACCACCATGTTATTAAAGAATTTGGGGTAAAGCATATTGCTTTAGTGCTCTATTTATTTATTTATTTATTTTTGAGTCAGAGTCTCACTCCATTGCCCAGGCTGGAGTGTAGTGACACGCTCATGACTATCGCAGCCTCAACCTGCTGGGCTCAGGTGATTCTTCCATCTCAGCCTTCTAAGTAGCTGGTACTACAGGCGTGCGCCACCATGCCTGGCTAATTTTTTGATTTAGTGCAGAGATGAGGGCTCACCAAGTTGCCCGGACTGGTCTCGAACCCCTGGGCTCAGACAATCCTCTCACCTCGGCCTCCCAAAGTGCTGGGATGACAGGTGTGAACCACTGCGCCTGACCTCTTTAATGCTCTTAATAGTACTATTTAAAAAGATTTTTTTATATTTTAATTTTTATTACTTTTTTTTTTTATTATTGTAATTACAGTGACTTTATGATGTGGCCCTAACGACTCTACTGTGAATAAACACTGAATCCTGTGGAGGTGACTGGGAAAGGGCTTCATAAGATACTTTGCAGTCTCCACCCTTTCTTCATCCACAGGCACTTTCTTGGATGCTTTGGTGAATCTAATAGTTCTGCTGTCTGCAACCTGTTCTTAAGCTTTATTTTTTTTTGAGTCGGAGTCTTACTCCATAGCCCAGGCTGGAGTGCAATGGCATGCTCGTGGCCACCCTAGAGTCAACCTGCTGGGCTCTGGGCGATCTGTCCACCTCAGCCTTCCAAGTAGCTGGAATCACAGGCATGCACTACCACACCCAGCTAATTTTTTGATTTACTGTAGAGATGAGGCTGTTCTTGAACCCGTGGGCTCAGGCAGTCCTCTCACCTCAGCCTCCCAAAGTGCTGGGATTACAGGTTTGAGTCACCACGCCCGGCCTGTTCTTAAGCTTTAAGTGACTCAGACAGGCATGAGATGGGACCATGTTGTGCAAAGGCATGGGTTTAGGGAGGTGAAAACCTGAATTGCAATCTCTGCCTTGACATTTATTAGTGAACTTGATTAAGTTACTCAGCCTTTCTGTAAAAAGAAGGAAAAACGGTATCTACCTTGGAGGGTTGTAATATGAAATGAGATGATGTAGGCCTGAGTCCACAAGTTCAAGACCAGCCTGGGCAACATGGTGAGACCTCATCTCTGCAATAAGTCAAAAAAATTAGCTGGGTGTGTGGTGATGCACACCTGTAGTTTCGCCTAGTTGGAAGGTTGAAGTGGAAGGATCACTTGAGCCCAGCAGATCGAGGCTGCAGTGGTCGTGAGTGTGCCACTGCACGCCAGCCTGGGTGGCACAGCGAGTCTTTGACTCAAAAAAGAAAATAAATGAGATGATGTATGTGAGATCTGTCACATAGTAGATTCTCGGTGAATTGTTTTCCTTTCTTCTTCTACATTAATATTCTCAATATTCTATCCCCTGCATCCACAGTTCAGAGGGAGGGCTTTACCAGTCTTTTGGGATCCATCAAGCATCATTTAAGGCTAATCTGTAATGGACCCCCAAGAATGTCGAGTTGAAGAAGTCTTTAATAAGAAAGTTGACTGGCCAGGCATTTTGGGAGACTGAGGTGAGAGGATTGCCTGAGCCCATGGGTTTGAGACCAACCTGGGCAACTTGGTAAGACCTCATTTCTACAATAAATCAAAAAATTAGCCAGGCATGTTGGCACGTGCCTGTAGTTCCAGCTACTTGGAAGGCTGAGGCAGAAGGATCGACAGAATAAGACTCCAACTAAAAAAAAAATTCACTAATTCATCAGTTTCTGATGAATTAAATGGGGAAGGATGACATTTAAGTGATCAGAAAATACTCTCAAGATAAAAATTATTTTAAGAGTGACTGAATTATAATGTTTTGAAAGTTTAATGATATTAATTAAAATTATCCTGTTATTAACTAGTACTTTTTTGTTCTTCAGGGAAGGAAGAATATGCAAGATGGTGCAAGTGATGGCGAAATTCCAAAATTTGATGGTGCTGGGTATGATAAGGATCTGGTGGAAGCCCTTGAGAGAGACATTGTATCCAGGAATCCTAGCATTCATTGGTTAGAATCTCTTAAATTACTGAATCAAAATAGAGGAGAAAACAGGTTACAGGAGGGCTTGGTGGGAGTCTTCTCTTGTTCTTCATTCTCCCAATGACAACTCCGTCTGTCGTATGAGAGTACAGAACTGATGGGACATTATTCTGTCAAAACAGAACAAGGACAACCTGCACGTTAACTTGAAGTTGATGTAACTGACAAAGGTTGCTAATTGAATACTATGTCCTAATCAATGACTGCAGTATGTTTTCGCTGATCTTTTTCTGCATTTATGCAGTAAGAATTAGGATGATGTTCTTAATATAAGAATAATTTCACAAGTTAAAAAAAAAAGTAAAAGAATGAGTTTTGACCATAAATCAAAAGTGTTTCGGAATAAACACTGTGAGACTCTGCTGTTCTTGCAAAGGGACGACATAGCTGATCTGGAGGAAGCCAAGAAGTTGCTGAGGGAAGCTGTCGTCCTTCCAATGTGGATGCCCGACTTTTTCAAAGGGATCAGGAGGCCGTGGAAGGTGAGGATTTGTTAGCGCAGTTTTGGTACAAGCATGTATGAGAATGAAAGGCATTGCAGTTTCTTATGGACTTAACACGTTTCGTAAAGGTTGGGGGAGGTTTACCCTGAGTACCTGGACTTGACTTTGTGGTTGACATGTGCCACATCTGCATAGCAGGAGGGATGGGCTTGGGGTGTTGAAACTGCTGTCTTTAGGGAAAGTCACTTCCCTCAGGGTGCTGAACTAGAGATTACTTTTAAGAAGTTTCTAGATGTCTGTTTCTGTAAATAACACATGAAGCAGATAAAACAGCAATAGTGCATAGTCTTACAGAATTAGAGTTTGAGCAAATAAATACTTTTATAAAAGTTAGCAATTTCTCACAAATCATTATTTTAATTTAGTTTATTTTTTGCTTGTCGCTGACTTAAAGCTCATTGTTGATGATTTGAATCTTTGTTTAATCCAGGCTTGGTATAATTCTCAAATGTAATCAGAATGTTTGTTTCTAGCTAGCTCTTTGCCTTAGAGTCTAAAGCCAGGATTAATTTCTTCTCGGTCCAACATTTTCAATTTAGCATATTAAAAAACTTTCCTGTCAGGCAGACATGGTGGTGCATGCAGTCCTAGCTCCTCAGGAGGCTGAGGAAGAAGGATCACTTGACCAGGAGTTCAAGACCCAACCTGGGCAGCATAGCTGGGTCTTGAACAAAACAAAAAACAAAGCAAAGCAAAACAAAAATTCTTCTAAGTTGCCTGGAAGCTCCCACCTTCCTAGCTACCTGGGCCTTTGTTTGGCTTTTAGCCCTAGGCAGAGTCTCCCTTGACTGACTAGCAGAATGAAAGGAAAGCAGGAGCTCTCTGCCTTTCTGAATTAGCAAGGAAGGTCTGTTTCTCTCCTTAAATGTCTCCTCCTCTGTTGTCCCTGTGCCTACAAGAAATTGGGTACTTAGTCAATAGCTTAGAACACCCATGGCATTTTGATAGGCTCTAACAACTTGAAAGCTTTTACAGACTCATTTGTTAAAGATTAACCTCATTTTGGGAACGTATTATTAAAAATTCTCCCATTACTATAATTTTTAAAACAATATTTGAAAGACAAGGTTTTAAATAGGTATTTAAAAAACATAAAATATATACTATTATATATTCATCTTCTAATTTATATTTTAATGAGACATTTATTATAATGACTCGTTATAATTCAAAAGCATTCATTTGTTCTGATAAAACTCGTGTGTCATAAAGGAACATATAATATGCTAGGTTAAGGAAGGCTCTCATTTTACTAAATAGTCACTCCCTGGGTCCGTTGAGAAAATTTAAAATCCAGTTTTCCCAAACTTAGTTTTTTTAATAACAATTTTTATCACCAATTTAGATATTTGAATCGCAGCAAAACAAAACAAAAAAGTACAAAAATGCCTTGCAACTGCGTAGGGATGCCCATTCTGTGGTGTTGGTGGGTGTGAGGTTAGCCTTGATTCCTTCTGAATTTGTTGACCTATCAATTGAAGCTTCTAGTGTCTTTTGTTTGTTATCCTCTTTGATTTAACCTATAGTAGAGCGATGTGTGAGGTATTTTTCTTCAGGTTAAGTATACAAATATTACAGGATTTGCTGTTTCATTTATCTAGGATTGTGGAGGCTGATGAAATTGGAGTAAAGAAAAGGAAATTTTATTATTTCGGATCATCATATGTGGCTTAGTTATGGTGAAGTCTTGTTCCTTTACAGCCTGGCATGTTGTAGAGATAGTGTATTCTAGAAGCTGTTCCCAACTGTAAAAAACATGAATTTAAAGTAAGAGATGCTAGTTCAATGGCAAGTAGGGGTTTTCGTAGTACTGACTCTGGATTTGACATGAGATCTGTCTTCACTTCTCTGGAAGGTGGCTTCCCCCAGTTCTGCAGGGCTTCCCAGCTGCAAGTCATGTTACGTGCTCCCCAGAAGATGAAGCTCGCAGGCAGGTGTTGCAGGAGACATGCTGGATGAGGTGCAAAAGCTTTTCACCAACCACAAGGGACATAATTTGTAGCCAACATTTTCTGAACCTTCAAAAGTTCACTAAACTGAGTTTCATAAGCTCTTTTTTTTCTAAAAAGAGCTCTTTAGTTATATTTTTAAAAAATTTCCTTATGTTATTGTTATCAAATATGATCTGACTTGACTGATTTATTTAGCCCTTGCTGTGCTTTTGTATTCATTGGCAAACTGAATTAAGAAAAAAAAATAGACTATATCATAAGAAAACTACCTACATTAAAAAGCCCTGGACCAGATGGCTTTCCAGCAGACTTCTACAAAACACATACAAGGAGGAACTGATACCAATCCTTTTGAAAGTATTCCAGGCGATTGAGAAAGATGGAACTCTCCCCAAATCATTTTATGAAGCTAGCATTGCATTGATACCCAAGCTGGGTAAAGATCTAACAAAGAAAGAGAACTTCAGGTCAATATCCTTGATGAACATAGATGCTAAAATTCTCAACAAGATCCTAGCAACCAGATTCAACAACACATCTCAAAAATCATCCACCATGACCAAATAGGCTTCATCCCTAGGATGCAGGCCGGTTCAGCATTCGTAAGACCATAAATGTAATTAAATACATCAACAGACGTAAAAACAAAAACCACATGGTTATATCATTAGATACAGAAGAAACTTTTGATAAAACCCAGTGCCCCTTCTTAATAAAAACCCTTGAACATCTAGGCATAGAGGGAACATACCTCAAAATAGTAAAAGCCCTCTACAAGACACCCATAGCCAGCATACTGCTAAACAGACAGAAATTGGAACCATTTCCCCTGAAAACTGGAGCAAGACAAGGATGTTCACTCTCACCTCTCCTGTTCAACATAGTTTTGGAAGTCCTAGCTAGAGCAATCAGACAAGAGAAGGAGATCAGGAGTATCCAAATAGGAAAAGAAGAAGTCAAGTTATCCCTCTTTGCAGATGACATGATTCTGTACCTCGAAAACCCAAGAGAATCTGTCAAAAATCTACTTGCACTGATAAAGGACTTTGGCAAAGTCTCAGGGTATAAAATAAATGTGCAAAAGACAATCTCATTTCTATACACCAATAATAAACAGAAACCCAAATAAGAAGCACAATCCCATTCACAATAGCCATACACAAAAACCGAAATACCTTGGCATCTTCCTAACCAGAGATGTGAAAGTCCTTTACAATGAAAACTACAAAACACTGCTCAAAGAAATGAAAGGTGACACAAACAAGTGGAAAAATATTCCATGCTCATGGACTGGAAGAATCAGCATTGTTAAGATGTCCATTCTACCCAAGCCAATCTACAGATTTGACGCAATACCCATCAAATTACCAGCAGCATTCTTCTCAGACATGGAAACAATACAGGAATTCATATGAAAACATAAATGACCACGAACAGCCAAAACAATCCTCAGGGGAAAAAAAAAAAACAGGAGGTATCACACTCCTTTAAACTTTATTATAAAGTTACAATGCTCAAAACAGTCTGGTATTGGTACAAGAACAGGCATATAGACCAATTGAACAGGTTTGAGATTCTAGAAACAAAACCTCAATTTCTCAAACAACTCATCTTTGACAAAGCTTCCACCACCAACCACCGGGAGAGGAGAACCTATTCAGCAAATGGTGCTGGAAAAATTGGCTGACCACATGCAGAAGACTAAAACAAGATTCCTGCCTACCCCCATACACAAAAATCAACTCTAAATGAATTAGAGACCTAAACCTAAAACCTCAAACTATACGAACCTTAAGAAATGCAGGAGACACCCTTATGGAAATTGGAACTGGCAACCAATTCCTGATCAAAACCCCAAGAGCCCATGCCATATGAGATAAGATAGACAAGTGGGACCTCATCAAACCGACAAGCTTCTGCAAAGCCAAAGAAAACCATCAAGAGAGCAGGGAGACAGCCCACAGACTGGGAAAAAAAATATTTGCCAACTGTATGTCTGTCAAAGGCCTACATCTAGTATCTACAAGGAACTCAAACGTGCTGAAAAGAAAAAAACAAACAGCCCCATTACAAAGTGGGCAAAAGATATGACTAGACACTTCTCAAAAGAAGACATATGAGCGACCAACAGATAAATGAAAAATCCTCAGCCTCACTAGTCATCAAGGAGATGCAAATTAAAACTACACTGAGATACCACCTAACTCCAGTCAAGATGGCTATCATCAATAACTCAAAAAACAACAGATGCTGGAGAGGATGTGGCGAAAAGGGAACACTTCGACGTTGGTGGGAGTGTAAACTAGTACAGCCTCTGTGGAAATCAGTGTGGCGATTCCTAAAGTTCTAAAAATCGACCTTCCATGTGACCCCGCAATCCCCTTTCTGAGAATATATACCCGGAAGAACTCAAATCACTCTATAAAAAAGATACCTACACACGTAATGTTTATCGCAGCATTGTTCACAATACCAAGAACATGGAACCGGCCATACTGCCCATCAAAAGAGGACTGGATTTTAAAAAAGTACATATACACAGTGGAATATTTCGCACCATAAAGAAGAAAATCGTGAAATTCGTAGCAACCTGGATGAACTTATAGTCTATAATATTGAGTGATCTTTCACAGAAACAAAGAACTGATTATCACATGTTCTCACTCATAACCGGACCTTGAACAACTATCGTAATACTATAAGAAAAGGATTGACAGTAGCGGGAAACTGGGGGTCGGGGGCAGAGAGGTGGGATTGGCAGTAGTGGGAATCTGCCTGGGGAAGGGGGGTCACACCTCATCAACAAGGGTACCTGCATAATGAATATTTGTCATACCTAACTCTGAATTGTACCTCACATTTTTTAAAAAAAATTATTTGCAGAGAATCTTATTCCTAGGCTAATGTTTTTTTTTCTATATCAGTAGAATAAAATTCTGGGATATGAAACTGTTACTCATTTTTAGAACGTTATATTTGAATTTGTTAGAGATTCATGAGAATAGATTAATTACTAAAACAGGTTAA